GATCAGCAAACTATATTGAATATGGCTGAGCAATTCTTCATCACGTATGTGTTCCACTTGTACTTTAAATAGGGTAAAATAATGCCACCGGCAGCAACACAGATGGATATAAACACAATCATATTGAGTGAGTTAAGTCAGATAGCAGAACACTTATGCCATGATCTCACTGATATGTGGAATTGAAAAAATGAAAAAAGATTTTACTCACAAGACAAAAGTAGACTCATGGACATTGAAAACGATGTTCACCAAAGTGCATAGGGCAAGGGAGGGATAAATTAAGAGTTTGGGATTCACAGATGCACATTACCTTATGTAACACAGAAATAAAACAAAGAGCTGCTGTATAGTGCAGGGAACTGTTTTCCATGTCTTGTGATAAGATATCATGGGAAAAAGTCTGAAAAAATATATATGTATATGCATAACTGAATCTGTTTGCTATGCACCAAAAACTAACATTGTAAATCAAACACACTTCAATAAAAAGCAAAATAATTGCAAAGATAATAACAATAGTAAAGTGCACTTTAATCCTTATCACCCTGTCGTCCCTAACCCTCTTGCGGTGCTAACATCCACTCCCACTGGAAGTGAGGCCTTCACTGTAACTGGTGTCCACTGTGCACTGGTTACTCTTCCAGCCGATGGAGGTAGCCGTTACCTTTTAACCTTCAGTGGGAAGAGTAAAGCTCACCAGGACATTAGTGTTCCAGGGATATATTGAGAGTCCTTCTCATTTCTGGAGCTACCTGAAGGCTCGTCTGGATGATCCAAAGTCTTCTAGATTTTCTCTTTTGTTCCAATATGTGGATAATTTGCCTCTTTGCTCTTCTTCTCAAACGTTCTTGCAGGATGACAGCATCTACTTCTTACAAACATTTAGCCTCTAAGGGACTAAACTTGGCTACAGAAAATGTGCAGTTTCCCAGCATCATATTTGATGTCTAGGGCATCTGACGTCAGAACAAAGCTCTACTTACATCCATGGTGTTTTTCTGCTTCCTAAATGCAACACTAATTGCCAAATGTGAGGGATTGTGGACGGCTAGCTGATTACTGCTGAGACGGATTCAACACTTCTCTCTCAAGGAAAACCTAGATGAAGTTTTCTCAACACTGGAATTCCCGACTCCATTTTAAGGGAGGAACCAGAAGACACAGATTCAAGTCCTTAAAGGAGCGTTTGAAGAGCCCGTCCTTTTGTGGGCAACCTGATTACCAGGTCCTTTTCTCCTTTGTGTATAAAAGCAAGGGGATGTGTTGGGGTGTTGACCAAATTCACAGGCACCTCCGCAGACCTCTAGGGTTTTATAGCCGTGAGCTGGATGCTGTGGCACAGGGAGACTCCCACTGCCTCGGGGTCCGCACGGCCTCTGACCCTTTGTTCAGGTCCACGCATCACAGTCAACATGTCTCAGTCAGCTGCCTCCCCTCCTAAGATGCCCTTTTGCTCCCTGGTCCTCACAGAGCTGTGCTATGCTGTCTCAACCTCAGCACATCTACGCTTCTCCCCTCCGTCAGCAATGAAGTCCCTCGTGGCTGCGTCACACCGAGTGACCACCTCCTGACTCCTGATCACCTACAAGAAGCCCCTCTAAGCAGCCTTTTCACAGTGACTCTCAGGCAGGAGGACTGAGGCTTCCACCTTGTAAGCTGGGAACTTCATGTCTGAGCCCAACAGGAAGAAGCAAGGCCTCCTGTTCTTTCCTGGTAAGGACTCAGCCAATGAAAATCCATGGACTCCTGTTCACAGGAGCCCTCTCACCTCCCCTTTCATTCTGTAAAAGAGTCATGTCTCTGTTTTCACTGGGGACTTGCATGTGGCTCACCAGGACGGCAGACCCCAAACTGTAATTCTGTGTTGTTCCCAAATAAACCCAGTTTTGCCTTTGAAGTAAGTGGCCGTTAATTTATGTTAAAAACCTTTACTTCCCATAACACTTTTTATTTTACTTATTTTATTTACTTTTTATATTTTGCAATTTTCTGAGCAGGTCACTGGGATGCACATGTGGTCCTACCTTCACTGACATTCCTAGCAGCAACCCTGTGTGGGAGACAGCAGTGCACCACGTCTAGGCTGCAGGAGGTGAGGGGAGGTGCAGACTAGCTGTGAGCCCCTGGGGGAGAGGGTGTCGATGCTTGTGAAGCCCTGGCTGTTTCCGACACAAAATATCTGTGATACAAATGGCATGTTTGGATATATTAACATGAATTGAAAAATTACATTCAAAATTATTCTAGATATAAGACAAGCATGTTAAATATCAGTTAATATTGAGATTAATTATTAATGCAAAGTAAAAACCTAAAATAGCTGATATAGGTTGGATTTTAATGAATACTATAACAACCAGGTTCAGCCTTGCCCTGTCTTGTTTGGAGACTCAGGTGAAGCAGAGACACGGCCCATTCCCCAGTGCTGGCTCTCTGCTCCACGGTCCCCTTCGCTTGCAGGCCTGTGCTCAGAACCCTCCGGCCCACAACCAGCACACAGGGGTGATTAGGCTGTAAGGTGCCTGTGAGTGAACTGAAGACTCAGGGTTGGTGTTTGTTCATGGTTTCATTCATTGATGATGATTCACATATAGAAATTTACCTTCTGCATGTCTACATTTTTATGAAGTTGATGAGATACAAAGCTTTCTCTCAGAGTATTTCCACATTACTGACATTTGGGGCTAGTTTCCTTTTGTGGGAGCTGTCCTGTACAGTGTGGGATGCACAGCCACATTGAAGGACTCTGCCCACTAGGTAACTGGGTGCCTGCAGCCCACCCCACATGTGACAGCCCAGCCTGGCTCTAGACATTTCCATGTGTCCTCTGGGGGACAGAATGACTCCAGTGTCACACAGACATCAATTTCCAAATATACAACTTTCCTCGTGCTATTCTAGGGAAAGGCAATTCAGGAAACAGGACTGGGGACCCTGTTGAGGATGAAATGCCTGGAAATACATTGAGGGTGGAGGGCAGACTACAGGCTCCACAGAAGTTTCATTTGTATCATTAAGTATCTGTAAACCTGACAACTAAAAGAGTGGGTAGTGACTAAATTTCAAATGAAAGTCCCATGAAGAAAAGTTTCTTCTGTGTCTGGTCCTACAACAAATGAGGAAAAGAGGACAGACAATTCTGACTCCATGAAAAAAGCTCAAGTTCAGAAACAAGATGTTAGCCTGGAATCATTATGGGTGGGCTCCCAGGGAAGGTGATGGTCCAGTGGAGCATCCACAGTCTCTGGGA